ACATTTCATCCTGTGCTCCTCCATCTTACACAGGAAACACTTGTTCTTTATCCCGTCATGACGTTCAGTAAAAAGACATTCGAGGTAACGACATTCGGAGTAATGTAGCAAAACCACATGCACACCGGTGTACAAGGTGTATATATCGACTTGAAAATTTAAATCCCCCTCGCTTCATTTCCTCAATCGGAAGGGCAAATTGTGTTATGACGGGATAAAGAACAAGTGTTTCTTGTGTAAAATGGTGGAGCACCGGATGAAATGTAGCACAACTCCGAAGGCGACGAAATAAAAAATGTCTACCGAGCTACAGGTCACCGCACAATAGCTTGTATCGATCATTCACACTGTCGAAAGCGTAACTGACCCAGAGGTACAATTCGCTGCTAATGTAACGGTTCCTGAAATCAAATGGTGTTCTTTTAATTTCCCTAATTTTATGGACTCAGTTTTATCAACAATCAATACGAAACTAACGATTTTAAATTGGCTCACCACTTTAGTAGCCTATTGGTCCCAAGCAAACGAATAACGTACCCTATTCTAGTCGAAATTCTAGTACTACGCAATGTTTGTTTTGATTCGCTATGAAAGTTTGACAGATAAAATGAGGGGTTATTGGTTTTTCCTATGTTTCGAGGGGTGAATCGATTAGCTTGGGACCGAAGAGAGTACCAGAGCTGTGCCAAAAAGTTGAGCACGTTTCTACGGGACCTTCTAGTCTTAGAGTTACCTCTATGGTTTTATCAAGTCCGAAATATTGATCAAACCCAATTTGAAAAGTAGTAGTTCCCATTCCCATTCCTGCCCAAGTGGAAGACTTGGAAACAGTCAGAAAAGCGACAACAAGACGAAGAGCAAAAACAGGATGCTACGAAACAATAACAGGACGAAGAACAGAGCGGTAGCACATAAGCAGGTGTCGTGACCGGAGGTGTACCGTTGGAAAGCAACAACAATGAAATAGAGGAAATGGAAGATGTGGCACCCCCCGGAAGTTGAAGAAAACCATGAGGAGAAGACGATCAAGGACGGAGCCCAGAAACAGCAGCATGTGGTTAAGTTCCAGAATAAAGAGAACGATAAAAAAGCTTTGAAACAGTAGAAGCTACAGCAAACACGAATCGAAGAGGAAGCCAAGCGGTTGCCCTATTTTAAGTCCCCTCCTGGGAGGAACAAGAAGAACTCATAACAAGCCCCCTCCGACACTACTTCGGAATAGTGTATTCAATCAATAAATTGTAAAATTATTGTAAAGTTTCTCGGCTCCGTAGAGTCTCTTATGACATTTGAGCCTACCAAATAAACGATTGAAAAAAACAACCGTTGGAGTTGTGATGACTTCCTAAATTCAGGGAACGGTGTAAAACTTTAAGGAACCTCGTAGATCTTCAGAAAACTTCGTAGAACTTCAGGGAACTTCGTAGAAGTTCAAGAAACTGTATAGAAGTTTAGAAAGTTTTCTATAAATGTATCAAATTTTGTATAAGTTCAGCTAACTTTGTAGAACTTCATCTAACTTTGTAGAAGTTTAGCGATCTCTAGAGAAATTTAGTTATTTTTTAAAAAAATCCGGAGAACTTTGTTGAAGTTCAGGGATTTTTGTTATATTCCAGAGAACATAGTAATACTTACGGAACTTTGTAGAAATATAGGCAACATCATAGAAATTCCAGGAACTTCGTACAGCTCCAGGGTACTTTGCTGAAACTCAGGGAGCAATTTTCATAGAAGTGTGATAGTTTTACAAGTTGGGGTATATTTGTATAAGCTATGGAAACATTGTTTAATTCAGGGAACGATATATAATTTTAAGATCTGCTTCTTTGAATTTAAGGGAACTTCGCAGAAAACTAATGTTAGACGTAGAAGTGCGAAAAAAGCTTGCAGAACTTCCTGGACGCTTTGGGATTTTTTTTTTATTGCAAGGAACATTTCAGATGTCTAGGAATTTTCGCTAAAATGGTTGAGGGCCTTCTCGAAAATTCAGAGGGATGAAAAATATGTAACATTAAAGAAGTTAAGGGAACTAGAGGTAATGGAAATTTCTAGACGTTAAGGGAATTTTGTAGATGTTCAGGGAACACTGTACAAGTTACAGGAAATTTGAACAAGTTCAGCAGACTCGGTAGAAATTCAATGAACTTCCTTTAAAAAATTGGGATACCGTTGAATTTCAGGGACCTTCATAGCAGTTAATGGAACTTTCCAGGAGTGGCTCAAGGGATTGGAAAGAAAATCAGGGAGCTTCGTTAGAGTTCATGAAACTTAGCTTTGTGGAAGTATAAGAACCTTCGTAGAAGTTCAGGATAGTTTAGAGAACTTCGTTGATATTCACGGATTTTCAAAAATGTTCAATTTGGGGACGGTGGATCAAATATTATTCTGAAGATCTGCAACTGTTCAAAAATGAAAATGTCATCCTTCCAAGATTAGAAAGTAGTAGCTCATTGGAGATATCAGTTAACACCTCTTTCAAGACTTGAGGTGGATCATTCAAAAACATTATATTACGTCTCTGAGATATTCTCCAGCTGATCAAAAATTTCAATTAAGTCCGCTGGATAATTTTTCAAGACTTCAGGTAGATCAATATGAAGATAGGAAGAACTGTTCAAAAATTCAAATGGAATTTTTCAGATGTTCTCCCTATATGGTCAGGAAATATTTAAAAGATTTTGAGCTGATCGAAGATTTCTGTCTAGTTCTGTGGATATTTCTTCAAGATTTCAGATTGATCAAGTATTTTTCTGGAAAAAAAAATCTGATTTTAATCAATCGGAAAGGAGCTTAAAATATTAAGTCAAAATCTTTATTTCTGTAGCAAAATTCTTTACATTTGTAAGAGAAATAAAAAGCTGAATATTTTCCATTTAATTCCACTAAGTATTTTATATCCATGATACCCCAGACAACCAGAAAGCACGTATGTTCAAAGTTGTTCTGTGATATACAAGCACACATACAAACAAACAAATCGCAATGCAAAAAACATGTTTATACGTATAAAAGTGGAGGCCATATACGAGCAAATTTAAAATTATTTTTAAACGAGTTGATTTAACAATTTTGAAAAATCTTACGATGCAATCCGATTTAATTCGTGATACAGTACGTTTGGAAAATTATCTACGGCATATGAGTCGGAAATTTCCATTGTATACGATTTAACTTAAACATAATGCGATGCATGTCATTCTTATATGCGATGTTGATTTAAACTGTAGCAATTTACGTTACTGTCTTTACAGTGTTCTACGACTTCTAATTGTGTGGGACTATGTTGTGAGTATTCCGCTAACAACGCAATTCATAGCTTTCATCTTTAAATTTCAGATTAAAATGAAATGGAGAAAAATATATTCACCAAATTTCAGATGTCTTCAAAATGAAGACATGTCTTCAAATCTGGTACCGCTGAGTATGCTGAAGAAGAAGATGTATATATATATTCCAATCAAAATGAGTAATATGATGAGCGTCAAGTCACATAAAATAAACACGCAAGGTTAACAATGAACCAACTCTATTTTATATTGATTACTTATTGTGACAACAAAGAATTCTTGGAACGCATGAACGATTAAGAAGCTGATAGACAGCTTTTAAAGGCATCTTACAGCTCTTGATTGATGCTTGAAAAGTTGCCGCAAGCTATTAATTATAAATGAAAAAATCATACTGGGTTTATTTTTATAACTTACTTTTGTTTTGAATTTTAAATATTTCAGAAAAGACATATCATTCACTATATATATTCACTAAAAAATCATTGGAACTAAAAAACATACCAAAATGAAAACATTCATACATCTTAATGAACAACGACTCCCATTTCAAACGGGTAATAAAATATAGAGTTCACTGCGTAGAAGTCATTGAAACTATCATTTTGGTCAAGGGCACCTTCATTAAAACACATGAAATTTTAAACTTAATAAAATACCGTTCTATATACGCCGTTTTCGTGCATTCAAACCATTCACTCCAACAACCACCGTCGTCACATCTGGTCCCATTTCTCGAGTCTCGCTTTCTTCATCGACCTTAATGTTTGTTATTCCACCACTGGATGCCTGGAAACAGAGTTCCCACATGCCACGGTCACATTTCAATCCAAAACACACATCACTTGGCTCAGTTTTCATTTTCCATTGCTTGTTCCCACCTCCTCCTGAAGGAACAACACGCGACTCATATTCTGACCCGGTTTCACAGGCTCGCCTTCCGTGTCACTAACCACTAACACACATTTTCTTCTCCCTCCATATGATAATGCTGCATTTCCCGAGTAGCATGCTTCCTGTTTCCCAAGCGCTGGAGGAATGAGGTGACCTCGTACACAACGCGTTAAACTAACTGAGCACTGAACCGCTGGACAACATAGTTAGCATAGTACACTTAGGTTCCTGGTGTTCGAAATGTGCATCAAACTATTCCAACCCCTCCTCACTCCACCCCTCACAAGGAAGGTGGTTGCTTGATTGGTAAAGTGGCAGGAGGAGCAGGAATTAGCGACACTTGCTCTCGCGGCATGCTCAGGTCCTTTTGCGGTTCGCTCTTAGCACCCGAGTCGATTCTCTCTCGTGCTCATGCTCCAAACATTGCTGGCCCCAACTTTTCTTCTCCTTTTCAGCTCTTCGGGCTCTTCAAAGGTCCCGTCAGCCACCCTCCATGGCACACCCCCTCGGCTCTACCGATGTTTCAACTTTTCATCCATTAATCGAAGAAAAAGAACAAGACCACCAGTAGGGCAGAATTAAGCAGAAGAAGTGGAAAAATCCTTTTTTCCTGGATTTTTCACTAAATTCGCAAAAATTTCCGCACTTTCGGACCGGCAAAGCGTAGCCCACCCGGCAGGGCATCGCAGAACGATGGAATCCACTTGAAATTCGAACGGCAAGTGACCAAAAATGACCATTGAAAATTTCACACACACACAATTTTCCTTTTTGGAGTACCACCCGAGCAGCCGAGACGGAGCTTACGGAAAAACGTACCTTTTCGGACGAGATCACACACTATTCTGAAGAGCTCGAGTCGATAGAATTTTTCCTCCTATGCTTTTGATGGGGAAAATAGCAGAAAATGAGCGAATGCGTGCCAGTAGGACGGCACTATGGAACGAAGCTGCGCGTCGGGCAGGGCTGGGCGGCTATTTTTGAATGTGCGGCTTCGAACTTGGCTGTTTTAATGGTTGCCGTTACCTGTGGACGCCATTCGCCATATTACGTTATTTATAGACGGGCACGGCGTGTCTCCCGCAATGTTGGGGCTGGTCTAGTGTGTGCGTTCGTCAGACACGTTCCGTACGTGTTACCGTTGAGCGGCGTGATGTTGGTCAGTTTTGAGGAATTTCAGACCATAGGTGTTGTTAGCGGTTATATGTACATATTTTCAACAAAATTTTTATATTGCATCAATTCCCAAATTATTGAAGCATATTGTATGGGTACGGCCTGCCACTTTATGGGGACGCATGGTTCAACGTGAGCATTTTTAACCCTCCATTACTCGCGCTGTTGTAGGTACTTTGTACTACACATGTGAGTTTTCCAATGCCATTTTGTTCCTAAGTTAGCAATCGATTTGAAACCAACGTCTATTCCTCAAAAATATTGTTTTGATCTAAACAAGCTGAACTTTGATTACAGTAAGCCCCCAAAAAATGCGGATCATTGAGAAAATGCAAATAGAAACCACGTAAACGTTGTCCATACAACTTGGGATTTGACTTAATTTGTTACAACATGGAATTTCTCGAGATCCTGACCAGATGGAAAGTTACTGTCTTGGGCAAAGTTGTTCAGGACGTCACGGCCTTTGATGGTGAGCAATAGTTCAGGGTTTTCTCACTGCGCGGCACTAGTATACATTTGAAATTCTCGCATATAAAATATCTCGAGATCCTAACCAGATAAAGGGCGAACACGAAATTATTGCGACACCGAAAATGTCATGCCAATTTTCTTATAATGTTTAGAATCAAACCAAAATTTTAGGGTAGTTTTATACATATATTTACTTCAAAAATCAAAAGAAAAGTTAATCGATGGAGCCTTGATTGTAAAATTGAACGCATTTTCGCTTGATGCCCTCCATCAAAGTCTTTACAGTGTCATCCGGTACCAGTTTCTCAGTTTTTTTTCCACTTTCTTAACATGTCCTTCTCGTCTTTGACTGTCTTCTTGCTCTTCCGAAGTTCCCGCTTCATTATTGCCCAGTACTGCTCCACCGGGCGCAGCTCCGGACAGTTTGGCGGATTCATGTCCTTGTTGTTGTATGGCAACACAGTTGTTTTTTTTATGTTTGAAAACCATGGAGTGATTTTGTTCAGTGTATTTTCTTTTATAGACATTTTTCTTTTATATTCTCTATATTATCAAAATGTGTTCGCGTGCTATATTTTGATCAAAACGTTTCTGATAATATAATCCGTATTTTCATGATAAACTGCGTGTTTTCTTATGAACGATCCGAAACCTGTCTCTGCCCAACAGTCCTTTGGAACAAAATGGACAGAATTGGCCTCATACCACTCCAGGACACTTTAAGAATAGTGGCATGGTGCCAAATCTGGCCAAAATAGCGGAGCTTCGTCGTGCTGCTGCAAGAACGGCAAAAGGCGCTTCTCGAGGCACTCAGATTTGTAGATCTCGCCATTTACTGAGCCCTTTGTCACGAAAGGCTCACTCCTCAGTCCGCAAGAGCAGATGGCCTGCCAAATGAGATATTTGGAGGTGAACTTCGACATTTTCTTCTTCTTAAATTTGTCGTCATATCGAACTTGCTCTTGCCGGTGAAAAACTCCAACCCCGGAATTTGCTTAAAATCGGCTTTTATATACGTTTTGTCGTCCATCACACAGCAGCCATATTTTGTCAGCATCTTCTCGTAGAGCTTCCGTGCCCGAGTTTTAGCCGTCGATTGTTGCCGCTCATCGCGGTTTGGGAAGTTCTGTACCTTGTATGTATGTAGTCCAGCTCTCTTCTTTGCATTCTGGACGTAGCTCTGCAACATGCCGATCTTTTTAGCCAAATCACGGCTTGAGACGTTGGGATTTTTGCTTTAATCATCCGCTTCACCTTTCCCTCCGTCTTTTTGTTCTCCGGTCCCGGTTTTCTTCCAGCTCCTTTGCAGTGGTGCAACGTCAACCGCTCCTGGAACCGCTTCAACACTCTGGAGACGGTTGAATGGTGAATGTTCAATATTTTTCCCAACTGCCGGTGCGACAGGTCAGGAAATTCCAGGTGTTTGGAAAGAATTTGTTCTCTCAACTCGCGTTGGTTCACCTCCATTTTCGTTGAATCGAAAAACACGACTTCGAGTTTGACAGCATGTACACAATACACATCAATGAGAAAGTGTGCAAAATTTGGTTGATTTTTACCCAATGGTAAAAAAGTTATGCCCTGTTGAATGTGTCGCAATAATTTCGTGTTCGCCCTTTAAGTCGGAATTCGCTGGTTGGGCTTTTAATACTTGGGCTGCTTTTTAGTTGGGCCTCCGCTAGTTGGGCGGTGACCCAATTAAAAAGCAACTAGATGCCAAAATCTCTTGTCAAACTGAAGTTGACAACCAGACGTCAATTCTTTCTAGGGGTGAGCAAATGCATTTTACATTGCGTATTGTGTTTAATGAATGTTTATTTGAAATTCATACAAAAATAATAAAAATTGCACACACTACAAGTTTTGCTTTTACCACTCAGCTTCAATAAGCTTAGTTCTCAAGGATTTGAGTCGCGTAACCTCCCGAACATCGTTTTCTACGTACTGAATGACATTGTCAAGTGATTGCAGTACATTAGCGAAATCCTGCTTTGTTGTCGGTTTCTCATCGACTGTCATTAGCCCGGATCCGGATACGTTGCCTGAAGCACTCTCGTCGGTGTCGTTTAGCCACTCTTCTTGCATGCAGACTGATTCATCGAAACCACGGAGAACGCCAGTTACAATCTCAACGTCGGTGTATACCTGACTCGTTCCACACAGCACATTTCCCTCAGAGTCTATAACTTGGTCATTCAACCATCGTTTCACATCACTTTCACTGGTCTGCGTCCCAACCATCTTGTCAACTTCTGCTATGAGCGATTTTATACAATCCGCATCTTCTTGTGTCGGATAGTCCTGTTCGACAACATTTAATTCATCATGAATTAATCCTGGAAACTCGTCAATCAGTTTATTCCACGAGTTTCTTATTGTGGAAGAACTTATTTCCTCCCATGAGCTGGCCAGCCAATCCAAACACATTTTCAATTAAATGTTTTTTAGACGTTGATCGAATGACAAGTGTTCATCTTCCAAGACTAGTTTCAACATGAGCTTCCTCTTATATCGCGTCTTGATGGCATTAATTACCGCCTGATCCATCGGTTGGCATTCACTGGTGACGTTGGGTGGAAGATAGATCACCTGAATTAAACCATCATCACTCTTTAAGTCGCAACCATCATGGTGCGCCGAACAATTGTCCAAAACCAATAGCGCTTTTGGCTCAAGACTTTTTTCTTGACAGAACTTTCTTACAGCTGGTACAAATTCTTCCTCAAACCATTTTCGGGACAATATGCGTGTCATCCATGCTTTTTTCGAGGAAAAGTACGAAACTGGTAACTCTTTATTTACCCCGCGTCGGAGAACTCGAGGATTTTCCGATTTTTCGATAAACATCAGCTTGAGTTTTAGGGAACCGTCAAGATTAGCACAGGGCATGAATGTATATCTGGTTCGGTTGAGTTTCCGACCAGAAGCTGCTCTTTCATCCCACAACACTACCGTTTTAGATGCTATAAGCTTAATAAAAATTGCCGATTCATCCACATTGAATAATTGTGACGCACTTATATTCATTTCAAGAATCCTATGCATCAACGGGCTTAAATTCAGCATATGCTTCCAGATCAGCTTTCTCCCCATGAGCAGTAGCCATTCGCAAGCCAAAGCGTTCCTTGAATCGACGAGCCCAGCCGTTGGAAGCGAGAAACGTACTTTCCGTGTAGCAATCATGTTCCTGAAATGCTTTGAATAGAGAATCTGCTTTTGTCCGCATGATATCCACCGGAACAATGATATTCACTTCCCTTTGCTGCAAAATCCAAATAAACAATGCTTCCTCCATCAACGGGAAATGCTGTTCCTTCAGAGTACTCCGCTTCTCCGCTCCATATTCTCTATATTTCTCCACTGCAATCTGGATCGCCGTTTTATTTTTGATGAACCTGCTGAAAGATGACTTTCCAACTCCATACTTCATGCCGATCTGTTCATGGGACATTCCTCCCGACACTGCTTCTTCGATCATTTTTAATTTGTCCGTCAATGATAGTGTTGTGTGTTTCCGCTTGGATCCCGATCCATACTCCATTGTAGAATGCTGAAGATGAGAGCATTTATTTACATAAAGGGTGATACGGTCAAAATTTGGTCAAGGGAAAACGCGTGTAAATCGGTGAAAACGTTTATTTAAAAAATCAAATTAAATTTCTTTTTCAAGTTCAATTAGTATAAAATTCAGGAAAAATATTCAGTTAGGCTTCCGCTTTTCCAAATCCGAATTGCCGGGCCTTACGCTTGACCCCTGCCATCAGATTTTATACAGCCACCTTGTCCACCTTCTTCGCCGCAGAAAGCCAGTTTGCCTTGAACTGCTGCTCGCCCTTAGCAGTTTTTTGGTCTTCTTTAGGTTCCGCTTGACAATAGCCCAGTATTTCTCAATTGGGCGGAGCTCTGGCGTGTTGGGAAGGTTCTTGTCCTTGGGAACCACCTGCACGTTGTTGGCGGCGTACCACTCCATGGCCTTTTTACCGTAATGGCAAGATGCCAAATCCGGCCAAAACAGTACGGAACAACCGTGTTTCTTCAGGAAAGGCAGCAGACGTTTATTCAAACACTCTTTCACGAAAATTTCTTGGTTGACAGTCCCGGAAGCTATGAAAATGCTGCTTTTCAAGCCACAGGTACAGATGGCTTGCCAAACCAGATATTTCTTTGCGAACTTTGACAGTTTCATGTGCTTGAAAACATCTGCTACCTTTCCCCTTCCTTTTGCCGTATAAAACTCCTATCCCGGAAACTGCTTGTAGTCGGCTTTGACGTAGGTTTCGTCGTCCATTACCACGCAGTCAAACTTCGTCAGCATCGTCGTGTACAGCCTCCGGGATCGCGCTTTGGCCGTCGTATTTTGTTTATTATCGCGATTTGGAGTCACTACCTTCTTGTAAGTCGATAGTCCGGCTCGTTTTTTGGCTCGATGCACGGTTGTAGACGATACACCCAGCTTATTTGCGGCATCTCGGAGAGAGAGGTTAGGGTTTCGCTTGAAACTACCGGCAACTCTCTTTGTCGTCTCAGCGGCTTCCGGTTTTCGATTTCATCCCGATCCAGACTTCCTGGCTGTTGACAAACGTTCCCCAAACACTTTAATTACATTTGTAACGGTTGATTTGGCAACTTTTAGCGATTTTGCCAACTTTGCGTGCGAGTAGCTCGGATTTTCGCGATGCGCGAGCAAAATTTTGATACGCTGCTCTTCTTGCTTGGACGGCATTTTGACAACTGAAGAGTGAATTCCAAAATCAAAATAGGAGCAACATTCTACTTCAAAATGAGGGGTGTTCAGGTTTTTTAAATGCAAAATTGAAAGAAATACGTCAAGTTGATATTGACCAAATTTTGACCGTATCACCCTTTATTTAACATAACAATAAGTTCAACTTATTACATACCTGTTTTGAATACGATGTATGTAGTATTACGCAGAGTATCACGCTTCCAATGAACAAGTACCATTAATTCCGCTTTTCATAAAATTTACACAACCACAACAACAACAACCGTGCACCCCTCAAGAAATTTCACCCTTCTGTTAGTTGGCCCAACTAACGAATCGAATTCGTTAGTTGGGCCGAGATGGTGGCCCAACCAGCGAATTTCGACTGTAGAATGTTACTGTCTTCGGCAAACTTGTTCAGGAAGTCAAGATCTTTTCGTTGGTGTACAACAGATCAGGATTTTTCTCACTATGCGGCGCTAGTATACACGTGTAATCATCGTAGTATATACAGGGCTGTAAGCGCGGATTTCACAAATTTCACGGATTTCGCGATTTTCGTGGATTTGCCGCGGATTTGAACGCCAAAATCGACGAAACATTAAATGATATCGCGTGTGGGGGGAGCACGGAAAAAATATATTCCCAACAGATTTGTCAAAAATTTATCTGATTGCCGCCAATTTGTCTTGTTTTCTCGGATGCCTTTACCATCGAACCATTGGACCTAATGTTCCACAAGAGGTAGAGAAATCGGTTATAGCCCATTACTGCCCGCAGTAACTGCATGCTCGATCCATCCGATGCCCACAACTACCTGACATTTAGATGATGAAAAAGAATTCCCAGCAATTCCATAAGTTCCTCAAGTTAGGTTTCTTTTGCATCTCTAGTTCTGTTGTATTTGTCTGCCTTCTGATGTATGGAAGGGTTAGTGCGAAGAACGATTTCGTCAACCAGTTCTAAATCGCTTTTAACCGCTCTTCTCGGCCCTGACTGTATGCCAATGATGTTTTTAGCCTTTTTTTTTTGATGGCGCAGCAAAAAGCTCTATCCTCCACTTCGTAATACAATCTTTCCCCACCAGAAACTGCTTACCTACTTGTTCGTTGTCGTCATCAGTTTCTGATCCGGCTTGTTCAAATTCAGTCTTACAACTAAAGGGTGATACGGTCAAAATTTGGTCAAGGGAAAACGCGTGTAAATCGGTGAAATCGTTTATTTAAAAAATCAAATTAAATTTCTTTTTCAAGTTCAATTAGTATAAAATTCAGGAAAAATATTCAGTTAGGCTTCCGCTTTTCCAAATCCGAATTGCCGGGCCTTACGCTTGACCCCTGCCATCAGATTTTGTACAGCCACCTTGTCCACCTTCTTCGCCGCAGAAAGCCAGTTTGCCTTGAACTGCTGCTCGCCCTTAGCAGTTTTTTTGGTCTTCTTTAGGTTCCGCTTGACAATAGCCCAGTATTTCTCAATTGGGTGGAGCTCTGGCGTGTTGGGAGGGTTCTTGTCTTGGGAACCACCTGCACGTTGTTGGCGGCGTACCACTCCATGGCCTTTTTACCGTAATGGCAAGATGCCAAATCCGGCCAAAACAGTACGGAACAACCGTGTTTCTTCAGGAAAGGCAGCAGACGTTTATTCAAACACTCTTTCACATAAATTTCTTGGTTGACAGTCCCGTAAGCTATGAAAATGCTGCTTTTCAAGCCACAGGTACAGATGGCTTGCCAAACCAGATATTTCTTTGCGAACTTTGACAGTTTCATGTGCTTGAAAACATCTGCTACCTTTCCCCTTCCTTTTGCCGTATAAAACTCCTGTCCCGGAAGCTGCTTGTAGTCGGCTTTGACGTAGGTTTCGTCGTCCATTACCACGCAGTCAAACTTCGTCAGCATCGTCGTGTACAGCCTCCGGGATCGCGCTTTGGCCGTCGTATTTTGTTTATCATCGCGATTTGGAGTCACTGCCTTCTTGTAAGTCGATAGTCCGGCTCGTTTTTTGGCTCGATGCACGGTTGTAGACGATACACCCAGCTTATTTGCGGCATCTCGGAGAGAGAGGTTAGGGTTTCGCTTGAAACTACCGGCAACTCTCTTTGTCGTCTCAGCGGCTTCCGGTTTTCGATTTCCCCCCGATCCAGACTTCCTGGCTGTCGACAAACGTTCCCCAAACACTTTAATTACATTTGTAACGGTTGATTTGGCAACTTTTAGCGATTTTGCCAACTTTGCGTGCGAGTAGCTCGGATTTTCGCGATGCGCGAGCAAAATTTTGATACGCTGCTCTTCTTGCTTGGACGGCATTTTGACAACTGAAGAGTGAATTCCAAAATCAAAATAGGAGCAACATTCTACTTCAAAATGAGGGGTGTTCAGGTTTTTTAAATGCAAATTTGAAAGAAATACGTCAAGTTGATATTGACCAAATTTTGACCGTATCACCCTTTATTTGGAAGGAATAGGAATTCCCTCGTCGAGGTCCAGAAGTGATTTGCCAACTTCCATAGGGTTCGGAGTTGACCTACATAAATTAATGCTTAAATTTCTTGAGCTTGCGTGTAATCTTATGTAATTCAATTACATTTAGACTGAAATGAGCAATATGCAGTTTGGAAATAACGCGTTGTAAGATCGTATGTAGGTAGATACAGACCAAAGTCATAAAGAAAAGGAACAATATGAAATTATCATCTCTTTAAGGGAAGAGTACACTTTGATTTTTACTCCAAGTCCACCAGAATATTCCTTACCGCTTTACGAAGCGATTTCCTAAAACATGTACCTGCGCGCTGAGAGAGCAATTTTATCTTTAAACGCGTTTATCTCGAAACGGGGTTTTTCAAACTGGCGTGGGAAATAACTCTAACCAGTTATCATCAAATTTGGATATCGTCTAGGTTTTCTTGTTCAGAATTAAATTCTGCTTAGAAATACGTATCCACATTTTCGATTTTGTCAAAAATGGATTTTTAATCCACGATTTTGTAAGCATTTGTAGGGTGAAAAAATGGACTTTTTTTTCCTAAGGCTACAACTTTTGAAAAAAAAAATTAAAAAAAAATCGGAATACGTATTTCTAACCCAAATTTCATTACTAATCAGGATTTTTGTTCGTTTTATGTTCCAGGACCACGCCGTTTTCCGACTACCGCGCGAGGACGCCCGCGCGACCTAGTGCACCGGCCACGGGGAGACGCCAATCGAGTTCAAAAAAATACAAATTGTAGTTCGAAGGATGGCTAATAAATGGGTTATAACATATTTGCCCTCCCTGAGTGTTTTAATGCTTAAAAAAATTAACAAAAATGCCTTACTTTTTGGACGTTCAAAGTGTACTACCCCCTTAATTATACCGCTATTCAAACGCTACTAGAAGTGTGACGTTGAATGTTTATGGTTACATACACCTTATCCTAAAACGCTAAAACTATCGAAAAACGAGTTTAATTTACTCACTTGGTCCAAAATGTATACGCTGGGGCTCGACTAACTCAGTCGTGAGATTGCTTTACTTAGTCTCCTGGAGAAAAGCGCTGAGTAACCTACGTTTTTAGAAAATTCTCCACACAACTGAGTACACGGATACGAATTTTGTTCATTTAAAACAAAAATACTAATGTTTATACCCTAAACATATGAATTATTCAAAGTAAATTGAAAGCATGTTTAAAACTAAAATATTTATGTTTGAATTAAATTCACAAGCATGTTTATTTTAACAATATAGGATTTGGGTAAACGGTTTTTAGCGTGTCATGCCTCTTTACTTCCTTCTTGTTTCATTCGGAAAAGGTTGCCCCAGCTTTGCTCAAC